GCTGCACAAATTTATGGTAGAAGCACAGAAAATCTTGGAGGCCTGAAAAACGTGTTGAAGCCACTGGGTGTGTTAATGAAGTGCGGATTGAGTCCCAAGAGACAGTTCTGGCATGTTGGAACCCTCTGTGCCTAGTGATTATTTTTCCTTATTGTGCTGCTAAATAATAAAATATATAGGAGAAAGATGTGATATTTTGGGTTGGAAACCACCAAACAGAAGTGCTTTATTGAAATGAGTGGGTGTTTTTTTCCCACTGACTTCTGTGGATCTCGGATTAGACCGTGTGAGAAAGTTTATATACTACTTTAGAAATTGCATTTTATTTATGCAGCTTATCCTTACCAATTGAAGTTATTGGTTGCACCTAAGAAATGGGTTTCACTACTTATACTCTTCATTTTGCTAGTTTTCACAGAAAGTGAGACTCCAGAAGAAAGCTACCGAATACTGTATTTCTAGTGCTAGAAGAATTGCAGTTCAGTGTAGAAAGGTTTCAGTCTCTTTCAATCTGTGGAGCACTAAATGTTTTCCAGCAGAAACTCAGTCCTAGTTTATGAATTTTAATCTGCTGACAGTGGACCTACCTGGTTTTCATATTTAAATTTACAAGACCATAAAACCTTGATGAGCCATTAGCTATGTGTTCAAAGCCCTCTATTCACAGAGTTCACCTGCTCCTGTTTTCCAAAAGCTGAATGTCTCTCCTGTCTATAATTTATAAATAGGCAGTTTGTGCTACAACTTCTAATTCTTATAGGTGATGCCCTAATTTAGAGGGTTTTTATTCACAGGTCTTATATCATACAACCCTACCATCAGTATTTCCAACTGCTGTATAGTCTGTAAATATCATTTAGCTGTTCAGAAGTGGGGTCTTGGTGGCCACTACTGCAGAAACATACACATACTGTAGGCTCCTCTTCATTCCTTTTCATTACCAGGACACCAGTGAAACCAATGATTCAACCCTAACATATGGCAACAGGAAACCTCCAACCTCACAATCCATCTGCTTGTACTTTGATCTAGAGTACAAGTTTCTAAGGAACAAACCCCATTTCCAAATGCAGGAGGCATTAGCTACCGTCTTTAATTCTCAGCATCTTTCCCATTTCCTACCTACTTGTGATAGGAACAGAAGGTGAGCCTGAGTAGGGGTGCTCCCCTGGGTCTTTACAAGAGGCTATGGAGAAGCGTGCAGATAAACTTTGAGATAGATGCACTTTCTGAGGGTCTGTGCAGGAAAGCAAAGCAAAATGATAGATCAGGCAGSAGGAAAATTGCAATTTGGCTTCAGGTAATGTTAGATTTACTRGAGGGAGAACCCAAGGAGCCTGCTTAGAATTGTGTGGTGAGGCTCTCCAAGCACTGATGTGGGCTACTGTTTTGCAACAACTTTCCCCCAAATCTCTTAAAAATGTTAAAAGAACCAAGTTTCTACTAAATAAACTTGGAATCTCTGAGAAAAAAAAAGCTATATTGGAGGTTGGAACCATCTTCCAAAATATGTTTTGTAGGGTACGTGTTGCTATCAAGGTCTCTCACACATATTTTTTGTTAGCTYAGTACACGCTTTCATTGCGGCAGAGTCAACTTGAAGACAGCAAACGTTTTATTTATTTTTCTAATGAGTGGTACTGCCTTCTTCCTTGTCATTTGACCATCGAAAGGTGAAAACACGAGGCCCATTCTTGCCTTCTTGTTGCGCGCAGTCTAACGCTGGCTAATGAGCTTGCGTGGGAGTGAAGCGTGGGTAGCCTATACAGATCAAGATGCTGTTTTCCTGTTTTCGAGAAGAAATGAAAGAACGTATGCAGCAGTGACCGAGGAAGTTCACCACTACGTGACCTATCATTTAGTTGACTTACTTTTGTATCTACTCCAAGCTTCCTCCCGCAGAGATATAATTCTTAATTAGCGAGCAGAAAAGCTGCGTGGAGCTTGAGAGAATAACACGGTGCTAATGAAGGGAAAGGGAAAAGTTGGGAGCAAGGAAAAATGAAGACTCTAATTTATTCCTCCATCAGCAGTGAAACCGACTCATTGACAAAAGGCTTCTTATGCAATCTTTGTCTGAGTTTATGTAAAAATAGTACTTTTCTTAAAAAGCTCCTTTTGGTAGGCTCCAAGGCTCTGTTTTGCAGATCCTTAGCTTCCTGGTAACAAGACATCAGTTCAACAGCCCAAACTGGTGATTACATGAGAAGAAGAATATAATGAGACAAAAGAATGGCTCGATCTTTTCTGTTGATAAATTTAGAACTTGTACAAGCTAAAGTACTGTAGTGATAAAGAGAAATAGAACTTTATACTTACCTGCCGTTCAGGAAAAAAAACCCCAATATATAATTATTGTGAGAGAAAGAAAAATACACCTCTCCCTCTCATTCTGCTGCTACTTCCTCCTTCTCATTAGCATTGAAACTATCCAGTTTAATTAAATCACCAGCCCATTTCTGCACAAAGGATGACATTTCATTAATGATATAAGATGTGCATGAGACAGAATTAACCCAATTTTCAAATGAATTTCAATTTGGAAAGGGCAACGTGTAAAAATGTCTTGTAAATGTGTGGGATGAGGTTGTTGAGMAGCTTTTTTTTGAAGGAAATGGGATTATAGGATGATGAATAATTAGACAACAGTTCCTGCCTTTCCCCCGTCCCACTGGCTTCTAATGCTCTTTTTATAATCTGAATAAATGGAAACAGGAGTAACATCATATGTTGTGGATATATTAGATTAAAAAAAGAGCCTTGTGACAAATGCTAACTATATATATATATATATATAATTTTCTCAGTAATTTTTAACTAAATAGTAGCCTTCAGCAGCTCTGTCAAAGCTACGGTCATCTTAATGATTTTCCTTGGTGGTGAGAAGGGAACAAAAGGGTGAGAAGGCAGCAAAAGGAATACCGGTCTCCTAAACATCATTTTGAGCTGGTCCACTTGGTAACCCTTTTTCTGGACCTTGGATAGCGCTGCTTGGTTGATGCATCAGGTGCCAGGCCCCTCCTGGCCGTGCAGGGCCACTTCTCAGGTCGTGGGAGCGCTGCAGGTTTGCGTGGATACTGGTTCTTCCCTGCTTGTCCCAGGCTTCAAACATGGACCGTGAGCTTGCCTGCACTGAAGCTAATGGCCCTGTGCAGGATGCTCTTCCCCTGCAGAAGGCATTGCAGTGTCCAGTGTCTTAACTCACTTARATGTGCTCTGGGTGTCATCCCTGCTGGAGCAGGGGGGTTGGACTAGATGATCTCTAGAGGTCCCTTTCCAGCCTCAACCATTCTGTGATTCTCTGATTTCTGTGCAGAAGCTGAATGCGCTCTTTGGGTTCTATAAGATGACCTAATTACAATATCTTCTCCATATTTTGCTTYGTTTCGTTCTTTCCTGATCATGTTTCTTTCGTAGGGGTGAATACAAGGGAATAAAATTTAGATAGTAGAATTTACAAGAAACGGGAACAACTGAAGGTGGCTGTCAGRATTTTGGGCTATGAGACTCCCCCTATTATGGTGAGGTCTCACATTCCAAGGAAGCCTGTTGTACTTTGAGACACCATGCCTGAGGATTCAGTTTGAACATCTACATCCATTTGATTTAGACTCATACAGAACTCAGCAGCCTGARGGCTCTCCCAGAAGATCCTGGGGGAAGAGAGGAAGAAAAGCAAACCAAACCCACAAATGTGGTGGGTACTGATTTGAAGAACTGTTTTAAATAGGTGATATGTTCTMATCTGGAGGGAGAGCAGATCTGCTTCATCATTCAGGTTCACATTTCTAAAGCTCATCGGTGTTTCTGAGGGCTGCACATGGTATCACCACTTCTTTCCAGTTATTTGAATTTGGAAATTTCTAGTTTCATCTTTGTAATTAAAGTGCTACATTTTCAAGACTTTTCTTTAACTTCTCAGAGTTGGTATTTCAATTTCATTTCCAAGTTGCTGCAAGTTAACTTTTATCAAAGCAGTTCTTAAAAACCATTAACCTCTGAGAAYTGAGTGTTGTGCAAGAGACAATGAAGATGATTTAAAGAGGCCACAGAAAGCCAATTAATAATCTGATAACCTAAATCTGTCCTCTAAAAAGTGTCAAATTGCTTTTTTTGCAGCTTTTCTTTTTAGGGAAGGAGAGAAGGGTAGTATGCCTCCTATTGAGGTATGGATTTTTGGGGTTGGATTATGAAGCTTAGAAGGAGTGGGCAAATTAGTGTTCCCATTGCTTCAGAAGTGCTCATAGAGGGACCTCGATAAGCCCTTTTTAGAAATCCGTGCTGCTTTGCTCTTCTGTTGGGAGCGCAGTGTTGAGGAGCAAGGCTCGGGGCTCTGCTGTGCCCACAGAAGTGCCAGGGAGGCTCAAGCCGGCCCGTTCACGTAAGGCACTGTGACCGCTGCCCCCGGGGAGCAGGCGATGGGCAACGGCCCACGCAGCCCTGCTGCCCTCCTGCCCSCGCCACCCGGCCCAGCAACCGGCTCGGGGGTGGCTGGGGGGCTGCTCTGCACCAGGGGCAGCACTGGAGGCAAATGCGTTTGGGAATTGAAGTTTGATGTGAAAAGCGTCACCTGCTCTTGAGTTTATGCAAAGAGTTGGGGTAAAAGGAAGTGTGCTTTTCGGTGGGGTATGGAGAAGTAGCTGAAACAAGGTGCTATCAGGAGAAGGTCACAATTTCTCTCTGTTCTTTGGCCAGGTGAAATGTGACYGCAAAAGCAGGAACAGACGTGTAAGCTGAAGTTCACCCCCAGAGATGTGGGGACAGTGGAAAACTTCATTCTGAAGTTGACTTATTTCTAAATGTGAAAGATGATAATGTATTTCTTTCTTCTATAGACATTCCTTTGATTTCTTTAAAAAAAWATATATTTTTTTTTCTTTTGCTCTGGATCTCTTTCACAGTTATGGGTCCTATTCATTAGCAGAACACTCTTAGTTTCTCTATGGAAAGGTTTGTATTGTGTGTACGTTTTTCTTAATGGGCCCTCTCTCTTTCTGCAGAAAAAGGAATGAAGAAAATGAGCAACATCTATGAATCAGCAGCAAATACCCTGGGAATTTTTAACAGCCCATGCCTGACGAAAGTGGAGCTGCGAGTTGCATGCAAAGGCATTTCAGACAGGGATGCCCTCTCCAAGCCAGATCCTTGCGTCATCCTTAAAATGCAGTCCCACGGCCAGTGGTTTGAGGTGAGTGTCTAATAAAGTAAAAATGATTTTTTGGCTGCTTTAGAGATTATAGAGTGAAGCTCAGGTAAAGTTCAAACAGCAAGTGCAATAAAGAGAAAAAGTGATTTGAAGCCTGGGGTGAAATCTTGTAAGATTGGAGCGAGATATTCCATTAACTCTAACACGCTTGAAACCAAACCCTTAATGATATTTTGAACTTCTCCTTGTTGGAGTCTAGATTAAAAATGAGGATGATAAGCGAGTAAAACGATATAGAGTTTTGCCCTGTAGGCAGTCTTGTTTCATAAAAGCTGTATAATAGCAGAGGTAATGATAGTGACCATTATAAAACGCTCTCCAACCTAAAGGAGAAAAATGCTATGGAAGAAAAAAGTGTTAGTAGTTGGCAAAGAACTCAGCAACGGAGTAGTTTGATTTGCACGTTTTGAGTTTCACAGCTGGGTTCACAGTTGACTTTAGTAGCTTAAGCTAATGTCTTTGCCTAATCAACTTGCCTTGTATCATATGTTGTATGTTTAATTATAATTCTACCTCCTATTATTTTAGTTAATTTTAGAAATTATATGTTTGTGTAATGGAAACAAGATGTCCTAGAGACACGCAATCTGTAAAGGCGGTATGTTAGAGCTGAATGTTATATTTTAACAAAATATTATTGGTTGTTTTAGCTAAAAGTTATACTTGAGTGTCTGTGCTAATCAAGCTCAAATCTGTGAGGTTTTCGTGTAAAGTAAGCATGCCAAAATTAGGAACATGTCACATCTAAATCTTTTCTTAATTTGAGTGAGTATTCCTCCTTGACTCTTTAACAGCTTCAGTATTCAAAGTAAGATTCATAGTTACCAAAGAAACCATCTGTAAGYATATGCAGAAAATGAAGTTGTAAATTGATGTGTCTCTTAATTTTACATTCTCAGTCAAGTCTGTCAGACTTTGGGAGRTTTATTTTTTTCCAAATGAATCGTTGGGAGTTTGGGATCTCTGAAACTTTTTCCAATGGAGGATCATCCTGAATATATCAAATCCAGGTTTTCTAGCAGTAGTCTTGCTTTTTCTAGGAAACTGCCATGGAGCCACTAGATGGACCTTGGCAGAACACGGCTCTGTAAGTGCAGATGCATCTCTCATGGTTGTCCTGATGCTGCCACAAAGCCAGTATCTTCGTGTAGTGAAATTTAATGGACTAGACTTGTTAATAAAGAAGGTAATTGTAGTTAGCCATGTAGAAAGGAACATTTAGCTATTCTCTGTCTGTATAACACCACCCCAATAGTAGAAATTAACCAAGCAATGGATTATAGATCAAAATGAGGAAAATATTTGTGTTTATAATGGAAAGACCTAAAAATTTGGAGCCATTTCAATTCTCTGAATAACTCTGAGTTTATTTCACAGTTTTTATGCTACCTTGTCTGTTACAGACAGAGTAAGCAGATCTAACTTTTATATATATATATATATATACACACATACACATATATATATAGATACACATATATATATATATGAAAGTTGCAGCTGAGATGCCCTTTATTTGATGAGTCTTTTAATTTGGAACGTGATTGTCTGACTAGAATAATCTTGCAAAACAGATCAGCTCACTGATCCGATCTGATCCTTACCTCACGTCAGCTGCTCCCAGTGTATAATGAAAGTCCAGGGTATTCCTTTTAAAAGGAACACAACAGTTTTTATTAGTTCCTGTTCCTATCAGTGCTGCAGCGCTAATACATCTGTGACATGATGAGCCCTTTCCTATTCTTGGCCACACATTCTCAGCAGAATTTTTAATTAAGTTCCAATTGCTGAGTAAAATTGAGCAGAGTCACTCAGGTAGAGCTGAAGACATAATTTGGCTCGAAGAATCTTCTGCTGATGACAATCATTGATCCAGCAAGACCTGAGGCTGCAGACTGACTAGTAATTAAAAAAAAAAAAATYAGCTTTTGGTGAAGTAAGTGTATTAGGCTGAGACATCACTGAACAGTAACACAGAGGAGTGGAACTCTAGAATTTTCTTTCARTTGTCTTCATGTCTGTCCTGCAGCACCACTTTCATCATAAAGGCTTTGTAATAAATCTTTTCTTTCAGGAGGGAAGTGTAGTGTAGCATCACCTCAAGTTTTCCCAGATAAGTCTTTGCTCTCCTTTTCCTGCCCCCTCCTCACTTCAAAGATTTGCATCTCTGAATTTAATGACTATAATCTTTAATTTCTACATACCTGAAAGCCCTTGCAAGTTGAATGGCTCCGCAGAGATTGCAGCAATTTAGAAATATCTAGTGTTATTAACACATGGGTATTGCATACATGTTGTATTCATATTGAATACATATTGTAGTTGTGTCTGMGCTTTTGACCAGGGAGCAGCTGGGTGGAAGCTGCCCAGGATGCAGGTGGTGGCGGGTACCGCTTGGCAAGCAGGTGAGGCTGAAATGCTGAGAGGTACCGGAGAGCAACCACGCAGCCCCTGCGTGTGCCGAGGCAGCCCGGGCTGCTCGGCCTGGGCCGATGGGGCCGCGCTGGAGACACTGGCGGGKGCTGGGTCAGCTGTGCAGGAGCAGAGCGGCCTCCAAAATGGAGAGTAAAGCGTTCTGGGTAAAACATGGCGTTCTGGCTGTGCCGGGAAAAGGGCATTTCACATACATATATACTATACTTTCTTACTAGGGCTATACACAGCCCTGGTGAGGCCACATCTGGAGTACTGCGTCCAGTTCTGGGCTCCCCAGTACAAGAGGGATGTGGAGCTGCTGGAGAGAGTCCAGCACAGGGCTACCAGGATGATCAGGGGCCTGGAACATCTGCCCTGTGAGCAAAGGCTGGGGGAGCTGGGCCTGTTCAGCCTGGAGAAGAGGAGGCTGAGGGGGGACCTGATCAGTTTCTATAAATATCTCAAGGGAGGCAGTGAGGAGGAGGGGGCGGCCTCCTTTCAGTGGTGGGCAGGGATAGGACTAGAGGAAATGGCCACAAGCTGAGGCACCAAAAGTTCCACAGGAACTTAAGGAAACATTTCTTGACAGTGAGGGTGACAGAGCCCTGGAACAGGCTGCCCAGAGAGGTTGTGGAGTCTCCTTCCTTGGAGATCTTTAAAACCCGCTTGGAYGCAGCCCTGTGCCACGTGCTCTAGGTGACCCTGCGTGAGCAGGGGGCGGGTTGGACTAGATGACCTCTGAGGTCCCTTCCAACCTTAAGCATCCTATGATTCTATGATTTCCTTCTTCAGTTCTGCAGAACTGTCTGTGAATATGTGTGTTTGGGTAAATCATGTTGTGCACGTGTGGAAATACAGAATGAAAATCTTTGTATTGTTGTAGAGTAGCATCAAAACAGTTTCTGTGCATTGTTTTTGTTTGTGTTTGTCTTGTAAATGTTTCTTTTTCTCTTTGATTTTTATTTATTTTTTTTTTTTGCTGATGACCGTGCTACTCCACAGTTGTGAAGCCATTAAGAAAACATACAGGATGTGAACAAGTACTCAAAGTTCTAGTTGTGAATATGTATCATTTAAACTCTAGATCTGAATGCATTCAGAGATGTGTGTACAAGATATGTATATCAAGGCTGGCTCAAAAATGCCTTCTCAACAAATCTAGAATCAAAATGATATATTGTTTGCTGCTGGAAAGTTGGCAGCTGGCTGCTTCTCTTCGTGGAGTTTGCTTTTCTAGCCTGAGATGACAGGGTGTGATACAGCAGAAATCCAAACTGTGCTATCCTTGCATCCTAAAATTTGCTGAGCTGGGACTGAATTTTGGCCTTAGTTTTAGTACAGCTGCAGAATTGTTTGTTTATTGGAATCACTTAGTTGCTGCTTTTCAGTATTGATTTGAGGATGTTAAGGAGTTTAATTATTGSACTAAGGTTCAGGATAGTGGATGGCAGAGCAGGGTCGTGGAAACAGGCAAAGGTGTGTGGTGATAAATTCATCTCCTCTGGTTATTTTACCAACTTGCAGTGCAAATATTTTTGTGTAATAACTGTATGTTATGTATAACACTGCAGCCTTGAGCCAAGATGTGCTAGCACKGCACATTGATTCATTATTCCTGAGAAAATACCTTGACCCTATTTACAGGTTATCTGTCTGTGGCAGATACACCTACTTTGGAAGCTTGGTAGGTTGCTGGGCTGTCTGCTCATGCAAGGTTTGCATGAGAGCAGGAGGTGAAACATAACGTGATGTAGCCCGAGAGTATGTGAGCTCTGTAGCTGTGGAAACAGCAGAGCAGCTCTGGAAGGTGGGAGCCACTTCTGGTAATCGTGGGCAGGAAGGGGACAAGTGGCAAAGGGAGTCCTTTAGCTGCAACAGCACATAGAGGGTCTGCCACCCTGTGTATTTGTCCAGCCTGCTGGAGTCTCTTCTTTCCCCCCTTAAAACCTTTTTATTGAATTTGAAATGCACGCAAATAACTAATGAAATGCTCCCAACGACAACATGCAGATGCTTAAAATTCATGTTAGTAGAGGAGGCTGAGATTTTTGAGATGAAGAGATGTATTGATTGAAATAGGTATATTTTTTGAAATGTTGACTGAAAAACTTGGTGAGACTTAATGAGTTTTAACAGAAGCAGGCAGGAACTCCCTTCAACTTTTCAAATAAAAACCTTTGGCTTGCTGTTCAGGATGGTCCTGGATTCAAAAATCAGCTTCATTTGATTAGAAAACTGAAGCAGGTGGTTTTCTCTGGCCAAAACAGGTTTCTGTGTTTTTGCTTTGTTTTGGAGAGGCTGCTTGTTGTGGTTTGACTGCTYGCCCTTTACATCCTCTCAGAGCTTTGCAGAAAAAGACAATAGAGATCAGTTAGTCTAAAAATGCATTAAACTAGTCAGTCTGTAGAATACTAGTGGACCCCACTAAATTTTTTACCTAGAAATCAAGCTGCAGGCAGGACACAGTCTTGCCCTTCCCTTTAATTTATTTGTTTTGCTGTTATACCTACTCTCTCTTTTGCTTTATTTTTTTAATGAATTCCCTTGTCCTTCCTCCTCCTGCCTTCTCACTTGCTGCAGGTCCTGATTTCCCTGGCAGGCACCTGCTGCATTCCTTTGCTCCGCTGCTTATTGGAGCATGGGTGAAATTCCCTGGCCCTCCCCAGCATGGGAGAAGACTAAAGCGAAGGCCTTAAAGAAGACTTTGTTTCCATGGATACCTAAAAATYTCTCTCATTTTATCCATCTGTGGCTGTTCCAGCCCACAATAGAGAGGGAAGGGAGAGAGCCACTAAGCCATAAAATTGGGGAGTTGGTGGGCTGACATGTTTCATGACTGTAATGAACTGTTCCAAAATAACTTCAAAAGCATTGAGGAGAATATATATAACCAAATAAATATATCCTTCTCAGWTATGTAGATGAACACAATCATAGATGAAGCATTTGAATGGAACTGAAGCTTGAATTATCAGGAAAAACAACTACTAAGCCCAGCAGCCATGCAGAATCAAACATGAGGCTTGTCTGACCACTGTCCTGCTATTTGGTGACACTAAGAAGTGTGTGTGATCAGGGAAATGTAATAGTGGCTTTCCAGTTTGCCCTGCCAGTCTAGGAACAAGAGTTTCCTTCATGGGAACTAACAAATGCTGATGTATTTTTCTTCCATAGGTTTGATCATCTCTCTCTATATATATTCATATTTAATAAGCTTTCACAAAGTTATGGGACAGACAATTCTTCATTGTAAGTAGTTCTTAACAAGATTCATTTTGCTAGATTCATTTTAAACCGATATTATCTTTACTATATTTAAGCCATACTATCTAGGAGGGTAGATTAATGTGAATGGTGTTTGAACCATTTTATTGCAACAGATTTCGAAGGCTGTGTCATTGCAGTGGTTCAGAAATTATTGTGTGCTTAAATACTTATACCTATTTGCTTCGTAACCTGTGTTATTGCCAAGATTTATTCAGGTTCTGCTTTCTTGTGTTGAGWAGTTTCCTCCAAGTCTTTCTGTGCGGTGAGAATGACAAAGACATCTCAACCCTTTGAATCCTCACTGGCACTCTGTGGGGTCAGGCTGCAGGCTAATGGGATATTTTAGGTTGGTTCGGTTTTTTGTCTGAATTTATCTAATCGGGTATCTTACTTTCCCAACCTTAATACTTTGGAGACATCCTCTGTTCCAAGGGTCTGTCTATTGAAAAGCTTCTGTCATTAAATCAAAAACGAAAGCAAACAAAAGCAACTAACCAACCAACCACAACATCTCCAGATGAACAAGGTCTTACTCCACAACAGTTTAAGCAGAATAGACCTCTGAGGTTGACAGCAAATCACCAACTATCTTCTGAGGAAAACCAGATTAAACAAAT